CTATATAGCGATGTCTTGAGAAACATGCCCAAACCTGTCTGTTCCGAGAGGTGGCCATTAAATCTATATCAGGAGTTCCCCATCTTCGGGCTAGTTCCTCGAACACCCTGGGGCATAATTTCCATTCGCCCTTGTTTATGATGACACGACTCAGGAAAACTGCCTTGGTATTCTGAACCACAGGAAGGTGGACTGCAGACAATCCCTGAGCATACTTCTGGCACCATATCATAATGGGATGTAATTCCTCCATCAACTGATGGCTGTGTGTCCCGCCCTCATGGTTGATATAGGACACTGCTGCTTGGTTGTCCAAGGGGACGCGTATCCATTTGTTCCTCAGAGTATGTTGGAAATGCAGAAGAGTTCTGTAGATTGCACGCAGTTCCAGAATGTTGCTTGGTAGCACTGATTCTTGCATGTTCCATAAACCTTGGGTTACTAGGTCCTGACAGTGCACTCCCCATCCTCGGGCACTGGAGTCTGCCGTGAGTATTATCCAGAGTGGATCTGCCAATGGGAATCCCTTCAATAGATTCTCCCTTTCTAGCCACCAGGTGAGGTGAATTTTTACCATCCTCGAGATTCTCAGGGGTTGATCCCTTTTCAATTTCCATTTGTTGAATTGATTTAAAAAAACGTTCTTTCCGGAATTCTGAGGTGCCACTGGGCCCATATTACCAGTCCGATGGTGGATGTGAGATTGCCCAGGAGTTGCATGTATCTTCTTGCCATAATTATATGTAGTTGTATTATCTGGGAGAGAAGTCTGGAGATTCTGAGCTTCCTTTTTCATGACAAGAAGATGATCTCTTGGAGAGTGTTGATGTCGACCCCCAGGAATGTCATCTTCTGGGTTGGTGTGAGTTAGCTCTTATGAACATTTATTAACCAGTTGAATCTTTGGAGTTCTGTCAGAACTAGATCTCTTGAAGACTTGCTTTCTGGAGGTCCGGGGCAACTAACAGCAAATCGTCCAGGTAGTGAAATAGAGAAACATCCTGGATCCTCATCCTTTCTATGATGATGACCAAGACCTTTGAAAAGGTCCTGGGGGCGGTGCTGAGGCCAACTGGAAGTGATCCTTCTTTATAACGAATCTGAGGAAACATTGGGGTTCTCTGGCTATTGGGATTTGGTAGAAAGCATCCCTCAGGATTCCATCCTGAAGGACCTGACTTCCAGATATCTGTTAACTCGTCTGAGGTCTAAGATTGGCCTCCATTTCTTTTTGCTCTTCCGAACTAAAAAGAGTGTAGAATACTGTCCCTGGAACTGTTCTTCCCTTGGGACTGGCATGATGACCTTCTGGCTTGTGACATGTTTGACGTACTCGTATAATGCCTTGGTCTTTATTCTGTCTTTTGGGATATGAGTGGCTATAAAGAAATTCCTTTTTGGCAGTCTTTGAAATTCCAGTCTGTAACCCATCTGGGTTATGGACACTACCCAAGAATCTTGGATATTCTGAGCCCAAACTTCTTTGAATAGAGACAGTCGAGCTCCCACCTCCAGTGGATAGTCAAGTCTTGTCACTCTATTTAAAATAGGAACCCTTTTGTCTGGCTTCTCCCACTCTGAGGTGATCAAATCTTTGATAGACCTATGAAGCGGGGAAGGAAAGCTTCTGCTTGTTAAGATCAGTGAAGTTCTTATCTTTAGGCAGATCCTCTGCTATCTCCAAAGTCTCCCTCACCATAAGGATGAGCTTGTCCATAGTCTTGGATATCAAGCGCTTCAGATAGCATCTCCACTAAACTAGCTCCTCAATCTCCCATCAGCCCTTGCTATTGTCTGACCCCACCGTTCCTTTAACTATAGTAATCTATGTAACCTATTGTATGTAAATGAGGCTGTTGTGGGCTTAAACTATGTGTGCTGTATTCATTAAAGAGTTGCTGTTTAACCTTCACCATGTTTCGTCTGGTGTTTGGTCCAGGGTGGAAAAGGCCTTAAGTGATCCCAGTCAAGCCTCGGTGTCTGAGTCTGAAGTGTTTCAGGGTCCCTGATAGCTACAAGGAAGCAGACTTGGCGGAGGTACTCGGTTGGAGTACTGGAGCTCCGTTACAGGGAGCAACAAAGCTCCATTCCTAAGGGCTGTAGGAAACGAAAAAGATTGAGGGATCTATACAGGGATATGTCTTTAAAGGTTTTTGATTTATTCCTGTCCTATCGGCTGTAAGGGGAGGAGCTAACCCATATGTATATGCTGCCATGATTAGCCAGGAAATATATATATACACACACACACACACATTATATGTATATGTATATACATACATACATACATACATACACACACACACGTATTTATATATATGAAAATGCTAACTTCTGCCATCGTTTGTCACTAAGAGGCTACTACAAAAGATTTGACATACCCCATTTTGAAAACCCTGCCTTGTCTGCAGTTGAAAATGTTATGCCATGATGGGGTTATTTCCCATTCCTGGGCTACCATGTGGTCTCAAAAGGCAACACAGACCCAGCAAACCATTCTGGAAAACTGAATTGGGCAAGCCCTATATTGACCCTGTAACTTTCCAAAACACCGTAAAACCTGTACATGGGGGGTATTGTTATACTCGGGAGACTTCGCTGAACACAAATGTGAGTGTTATAAATCAGTAACACGTATCACAAAAATGAAATCCCCAGTAAAAGTGCAGTTTTTTGTGTAAAGCGTTTGTTGCTAAGTTGCTACTAAAAAAGACTGGACATACTCCATTTTGAATACCCTGGGTTGTCTACTTTTACAAATGGTATGCCATGATGGGGTTAATTTTCATTCCTGGGCTGCTATACGGTCTCAAAGGTAGCATAGATCCAGCAAACCAATCTGGCAAATTTCAATGTGCAAACATGGAAAAGGGGACAGCCCTACATTTGACCCATGTAAGTTAGCAAAAACCCATAAAAACTGTACATTGGGGGCACTGTTGTACTTGGGAGATGTTGCTGAACACATATTGCGGTATTCTTTGGCAGTGATACATAACAGGAGCTGAGAATCCATGCCTAAAGTACAATGTGTGTGAAAAATAACACAAAAAAATGACTATCCAAAAAGTTAACAAACTTTGGTGGTAGAATTAGTGCATGGAAAGTGTTAAAATACCACCATTTGAAATACTCGAGGGGTCTACTTTTCAAAAATATATGATTTGATGGGGGTAAATTACATTGGATGGCTTCAAAAATATCTAAAATAGGACATGGGTGCATGATGACCAGCTGCGAAAATGCGCACCCTCCAAATAAGGTCTTTTAGCCCCCAGAGAACCTGACACACTTGTACATGGATGGTATCACTGTACTCAGGAGATGTTGCTGAACACATATTGGGGTGTTCTTTGGCAGTAACCCTTAAAGTTCTCTGTACATGCATTCTTAAATTGCTATGTGTGTCAAAAAAATCACCAATTATTATAAATTTTTTAAAACTGGTAGTAAAATGGTTGCATGAAAAGCCTTAAGTTTATTACCTTAGGTTGTCTTAAAAAATATATACATGTGAAGGGTTATTCAGGGATTTCTGACTGATATTAGTGTTACAATGCAACTTGCGTTAATTTTGAGGAAAAAAATGGTTTGGAAATAGCAAAGTGCTACTTGTACTTATTGCCCTATAACTTTTCAAAAAAAGCTGAGAACATGTATGTCTAAAGAAAATGGTGAGATATCAGGGTGAGAGGGCTACATGAACCAACAGGCCCAGAAAACTTAAGAGAGACACTAATCCCACTGTTCAACCTTATTCATAACAGACCCCCTGAGGCACGCCTGCACATAGACAAAGCGCACCGCTCTCTCCTTCCGAAACCACCACCAACGGCCCCACCCCGGGATGTCATATGCTGCATACAGGACGTCCAACTAAAGGAGGACATCATGAGGGGGGCACGAACAGAGAGATCATGGCGGTACAAAGGACAAACCGTGGAACTCTATAATGACCTCTCCCACCTCACCCTGCAAACACGCCGGGCCCTCTGACCTGTCACTACTGTGCTTCAAGAACATCAGATAAGGTACTGGTGGCACTTTCTCCTTGCAGTCTTTCCCCCCACCCCTCACTACCCTGAGCTGTAGGCTGTCTCTGCAGGGTGGGAGTTGCTGTCTGGACTCTCTGTAGCTGCTCCCCTGCGGATCAGTGAGTAGAGATAGGCAGGGAGGGATATGCTGGAACTTCCTATCCCTGCCTTTCTCCACACACAGCGACCCCTACTGGCCAGTGCTGGTATTTGCATCATATACTGAGAAAAATACCAGCATTTGTATTGTCAATATGACTGCAATATCGGCACCGGCCAGGCAGCCTCAAATACCGGCTGTGCCAATAAAATAAAAGTCAGGTGGAAACCCTAAAAGTAGTGTGTGTAAAAAACACATTTTTTTTTTTAAATCAATGGGCCTATTCCATGGGCCTGGGTACCGGTGGCACTTTCTATTCGCACTCACAGCACGTAAGGATAACATAGAGACCACGATTCGGCTCCCAGAAGATGTCTATCTTCCTAGACATCTTAGGCCTGCCAGCCATCCGGGTAAGAGACTGGACAGATTGCCCCCTCAACGAGAGGAACCTAGGCAGCCCAGTAACCCACCTACTCGGAGCAGAAGGCATGGACTTGGGCCCGCTGAGCTTTCACGCCACCATCCCAGACTCAAAAACCAAAGGAACGGCCATACTCTTTTTAGCTGACGTTCCATTCAAACTGGAACAGAAACTCTTAGACCCCAGTGGTAGATACCTCTTCCTGAAGGGCATAATACATGACACACGATTTACCTTTGCCAATCTGTACCTCCCCAATAGGGGACAAAAACCCTATATTAGGAAGACTCTCGCAATCCTGGACTCCTTCAGTGAAGGCAAACGAATCCTCGGCAGAGATTTCAACACACCGCTAGAACCAAAACTGGACACATCTACGGGCCACTAGACCCTCTCAGGACACGTACTAAGAGGCATGAGAGCCACCCTACATGAATTCCAAATGGCTGACTGCTGGCACGCCCTACACCACTCGGAGAAGGACTACACGTTATATTCCCCACCTCACAATTCTTACTCACGTATTTACGACTTCTTCCTCCAACACCGTCCCTTAGATGACCACCTCTCAGCGACCATAGCCTCCATGTCCTGGTCAGACCATGCCCCGGTTATCATTACAATCACCTCACCAACTCTTTTCCAGAAACAATGGACCTGGAGACTCAATGAGTCGCTGATAGAAGACCCCCTAATCCAAAAAGAGGTGCAATCCCACATAGATCAATTCTTCAACGCAAACAGCACACCAGACTCTGCCCTGGACAAGATCTGGGAGGCACACAAATGTGTAATCTGTGGCATACTGATTTGACGTGGAGCACACCACAAAAAAACAACGTGCGCAAGAAACAGCGGACCTCTCACGGAAGGTTGCGGACCTGGAAAAACTGCACAAATCCACATTAAATGACAACACAACTAGTCACGGCTAAGGCAGAACTGAAATCCCATCTCTCCCAATGGATTGCCTTCCAATTCAGACAAGCCCAGAATACCTTTTACGAATATGGTAACAAAAGCGGCAAACTACTGGCGAGGGCCCCGAGGAAAGCCAGGCAAAAATGGCCAAGTTACAGACCGATCTCCCTGTTAAACACCGACCTGAAATTGTTCGCAAAGATCTTGGCACTCTTCATTCAGCCCATCCTGCCGAAATTGATCCACTCGGACCAGGTGGGGTTTGTCAAAAACAGAGAAGCCAGAGATAATACCACCAAAGTAATCAACCTGATACAAGTGGCCAGGACAGGACCAACAACCTCACTCCTAATCTCCACTGACGCGGAAAAGGCATTCGACAGGGTAGACTGGACTTTTCTCTACAACATCTAGGATTCGGCCCAAACATGAGGACATGGATCGCGGCTCTCTACAACAGACCATCCGCGTGTGTCTATGTGAATAGCACACTGTATAACCCATTCCTGATACACAACGGCACTCAGGGATGCCCTCTCTCACCCCTACTATTCGTACTAAGCTTAGAACCTTTGCTGAGCACGGCCCGTAGCCGACCGGATATTAGAGACTTACAAGGAAATGGGGAGAAAGCAAAATATCAGCCTACGCCGACAATCTGCTGTTCACAGTCCAAGACCCACAAACTTCACTCACAGCCATCATGCAAGAATTCGATGATTAAATCGCTCTCTACAACCTCCGAATCAACTATACAAAATCTGAGATACTGCACCTTGGCTGTGAGCATGCCCTGATCACGACCCTAAAAGCACAATTCCTGTTCCAGTGGTGCAAAGACGCGATCAAATATTTAGGCATATGGCTCACATCCGACCTATCTTGCTTGTTCAGACACAACTTCCCCCCATCCTCGAATGCGTACTCAAAGACCTAACAGAATGGGACGTACCGCACATCACCTGGCTAGGCCGAGTAAATGTTCTTAAAATGAATGCTCTACCACACTTCTTATAACTGCTACAAACACTTCCAATCCTCATCCCCCAGACCTTTCTAGCCCAAGTACGCAAAGCCTTAACGATTTAAGTCTGGCAGAACCGAACAGCCAGGATAAAATACGATATTCTCACGAAACCCAAACCACAAGGCGGCCTGGGACTCTCTGACCTAGTTAAATATTACCAAACTATCCATCTCCAACGTGTTACCGAATGGTCCTTAGGAAAAGAAGATAAGCTCTGGATCGCCATAGAAGCCAGCTTCACTCAACTTCCACTACACTCACTTCCGTGGCAACCCCCACAAAAGATGAGGGGACACAAAAGAAGACACCCCACAATAGCAGACACCCTGGCGGTCTGGAAGAGGATATCAAGCAAACTGCACCTCTCTCCTCCAGTATCTCCCCCGTACCATGTCACAGGCAACCCAATGTTCCACATGGTTAACAGCAACCAAACTCTGACCAGCCTGGGCTTAACGACCCCATGCAGGCTACAACACGTCCTGGCGAATGGGAATATTCCCTTACTAACCGACCTACCCACACCCAACCCCCCAGACTCGATGACTAAAATCAGATACCACCAACTAGTAAGCGTACTAAAGCAAATACCTAATCTGCAATCAGCTATATGATCTGCCATATGAACTAACGCCAGTGCTGCACACAGTGTGTGTTTACATTAAAACGCATGCAGGGACAGGCTATAGACACCAGAACCTGCAGTGGTTCTGGGGACTATAGTGTCCCTTTAACATTTAATGTGAGGTAAATTAGAGATTAGTGTTGTGACAAACTCCCTTTTTTCTGTGAGTTTGCCACGAGGTTTTGGAGGGGCCTGTTTGCCAGCCTCCAACCCTGTGACTATGGCCCCTGCAACAGAACTGACTAATATACTCCAAACAGGCTCTGTTCGTGCAATTGGGACTATATGGTTAGTTTACTGAACAACTGCACTAACAGAAACCATCCTGGAGCTTGTTAACACCTATTAATAGCTTGGAATGTTTCTCACCACAGTGTTCTAATTGTTCGTCTGGGTGGCCGCGATTCCTATGAACATGCACAAGGTGGCGGCCATCTTGTTCGCATGAACGCAGGCAGCGGTGTTTGGGCATGAATCTCATGGAACTGGAATCCGATACAGAAACTCCCGAACACCGCTTAACTTTCATCATCTCCTACGTTCGTTTCTATTCAGCTTAGAAGGGCACTGTTCAGTGAGATCATATGTCTAGATGAAGGGAAAAAGTTCCAGGGTAAAACTATTGACTGCGTTCGGCAGTGGTGTATCCTGGTTTTGTGCTGCCCTAGGCAGGACAAAACTCAGGCGCCCCCCAACCGCCCCTGCGCGCGCGACCCCCACCCATCCCTTCCCCCCCACGCGCGTGACCCCTCCCATCCCTTCCCCCGCCTTCTAAATACACACACTCACTAGGAGAGACTCACTAGCAGAGACACACTCACTCACAGACACACACACTCACAGACACACTCACACACTAACAGACACACACACTAACAGACACTCACTAACAGACACACACACTAACAGACACACACACACTCACTAACAGACACACACACTAACCGACACACACACTAACCGACACACACACACACACTCACTAACAGACACACACACTAACAGACACACACACACTCACTAACAGACACACACACACTAACAGACACACACACTAACAGACACACACAATAACACACTAACAGACACACTAGCACACACTCACTAACAGACACACACACACACACTAACAGACACACACACACTAACAGACACACACACACAATAACACACTAACAGACACACACACACACTAACAGACACACACACACACTAACAGACACACACACTCACATTAACACATGTACTTTTTAAACCTCCCCCCCCCTCCAGCCTCCTTACCTTTGGGAGTGCTGGGGAGGGAAGGGGTTCTCTATCTCCCTGGTGGTCCAGTGGCTGCTGGGTGGGCGGCATTGGCGAGCGGGCGGGCGGCTGACGAGGGAGCTCTTCCTGTGAGCTGACTGCTCAGCTCCCTCGCGCGCCGCAAAGTGAGGCTGGGAGCCGGGATATGACGTCATATTCCGGCTCCCAGCCTCACTCTGCGGCGCGCGAGGGAGCTGAGCAGTCAGCTCACAGGAACAGCTCCCTCGTCAGCTGCCCGCCCGCCCGCTCGCCAATGCCGCCCGGCGCCCAGCATGTCT